TCTTACAATAGCAACCACAGTGCATTTATGTGCACACGAGATAATCTCATCATCACAGAACACACCCGCCTCTTCTGTGTGTACTTGAACATTCATAGCGTTGATATGCGTCGTCTTGGTGCTGTTATCAAAGACAGCAGTCAAAATGACCTCAAGTATTGGAAAGCAGATTGGGGTGTCCTTTAAGATGGAGGCAAGAGCTCTTAGCATGGAATATCAGCACGCGTCGCATGCATAGGGGTGAATTCCGACCCTGTTGTGGGAAATGTCGTAAAGTAGACTCATATTGAATTCATGTCATATCTGCAGATTCGGATGGAAAGTGAAACGTCGGAGGGGCGAACTGTTCCAACTGGGTCCGGCGAAAATAAACTCGGACATAATATTATTATTCCGTTCCCCGAACTTGCATTAGTCTGGTATAACTTTCCCAATTAGCTGCGTTCTTGCTGAAACAGAAAAGGCGTATATAGTTTACCCTGTTTACTGTCCTCTGCTGAGATAAATAGTTTGGAGTTGTTGTTTTTTTATTTGAAGAGTGACAGTGATCTTTCATGTCCTAAGACAAAATTAAACTGTTCCTAACATTTGATTTTTTAACCTTTAAATCGGATAAGACTGTTACTAAGAAAGACATACATTTCGTCTTTCTTTAATATTTTTTTTACATGATGGGAAATACATCGTTTAGCCAAACTGGAATAAACTCTCTACAATGGCCTCAGCCATGCAGCAGACTCTTCGATGTCGGAAAGGCGCGGAACAAAATTAATGTCAACACTACTATTGAGTCCAGGCATATTGATCACAAACCAAGCAGATCATGTTGCCCTTGTTTTTTTTACTGAGTAATGCGAGCGATTTGAAGCAGAGTACAGTATGGGTTTAGCGCCTCTACTACATGTGTTTGAGAGATCTACAATTTTACGTCTCGCAAAGTCAGGTGGGTGGAAAGCCAAAAAAGCTGCAAAACCCACGAAACTTCAAGAAATAGATACCATTGAGTCGAACCAGGGTCATCTGCAATTTGGAAATAATATGCGTGTGTGTCG